TTCAATAAGTGAAGGCGTCCGTTCCCAGTTTGGCGTTGTGTTCAATATGTGTTATGGCTACCATGACCCCCAAAACTGCTCTGCACCGTCACGGCATGGACTGAATACGTTACGTCAACAGTTTTGTCGATTCCAGTATCGGATGTCGATGTAGGACAGGGACAAAATAGGATCTTCTGGCTCGAAGTCCAGCGTCTCGTATACGAATTGTTTGAGCCGACACTGCCACTTCGAGGCCGATCTTGCGTAGAATTGGTTTGTTATATCGCCCAATAAATGACTTATGGTACCCTGGTGAACATTTAGGTGACGTGCAATGGTAGATTGAGACTCCCCAGCCTCCAGACGTCCAATGGCAATGTTTCGAGTTACAGCAGTGAGTCGCGGCATAATGATATTCTTTCATTTAGCTATAAAATGCCAATAACTGTCTAAAAGCAAAAAGACCTTATACAGGTCTTGTCCCTGCTTATGATTCCCAAGAACTGCATGTGCATATTGTGAAGCACTTTTTCTCCATGACATTTTCATGTAAGTTGACGCTTTCGAACGTAAAAGTGCTTTAAAATTTCCGAAGATGAGTTTTTGCGTTGTGCATTCGTGTTTTGTACACATCATATATTATAAATCAATATCGCCTATGCGTTTCTTCTTTGGGAGTGTCTATTCTCGTCTAAATCAAAAGAGATGTTCAAACTCGTGTAAAAGAACATCCAGTAAGAAGGAGTGTTGGTGGCCAAATTTAATCCAAGGTAACAAGCTGCAGATAACCACATAACGACCTGCTTTATACCAAACCTTTGGCCCAAGAAGGCCTAACCTGCAGCTTCTAAATGTGTCATGTGTTTATCATTGCAGATGGCGAAATAGACGTGAACATTCAACCACGCCTTAAGTTGTTCCTGTGGCAATCACCAAGTAGCTCATGCACTAAACATGAGATATCCTGTTTGTTTTCAAATTTGTCCTCTTACTTGTGTCTGCTACACACATGGGCCTTGTCTCCAGGTGGAAAACATGACGACACGCGCACATATTGCATTTGTTGTGAAAGCTGAGATACGGAGCTTTCCGTCTATAGTGACCACGAAAACCTATTAACAACGAAAATGTACGAGAAAGGAGAACAATTTATACGTGGAGTTTGAAGATATGTGGTAAATGTGTTCATCGACCACTTCCAAACACCCAAGAGTCGACCCTGAGGCAGTGAGGTCAAGTCTGATGACGCCACCAGTTAGCCCAGAAAGATTGTCATTCCAAGATGATGGAGAAACAATAAAGTCCAAAAAGACCCCCGTTAAGAAGTTTAGCAGTCCAAGATACTACAAATACTATTTTCACTTCACGTATCTGCAGTTTCTGCGCATTCATGTTTGAAGTCAATACCTTCAGCAACTTCGGCAACTATTGTTCTGAGTTGGCGGTGACAGTGTGGTAACTTTAGCTCCTAGATGCGGATTCTCTTGCTCTTCTGTAGACGACAGGGATTTCGTGCACCTTGACATTATAGTTCGCTAACTCTCAATCATTTCTACTATATTCTGACAGAATTTCTCTCCTTGGTTTTGGTTCACATCTCATCTCCAGAATGCATCTGAGGTGCAGTGACCCTTTTTCAAGATTAGATGGCAAATATCCTGGATCTTCATGCTTACCACGTACGATAAATTACCACCCTTCAGAGACATAGTGTCCTCCTACACTGTTACTGTGGTGACCATTTGAAGAACCGTCAACTTCTCTCTTCGTTTTATACATCCATGAGGTTCCAAATGAAGTTCAGTGGGATATTTCTTTTGAAGTTAAGGTTAATCATTACAGAAGAACCCACTTGAGGAACATGAGGATTGTTTGCGACCAACCTTCACCCAGATTCCAATCTAGTCGATCCAGTTCTATTTGCAACCTTGGACGTGGTAATTTGGTGTCTCTTTCTCAGGATGTAAGGGGAAAGTCGATTCTCTGTTGGGACACAAGCTCCAAATGGCTTACTTCTTCTCCACAGGAACAACTGGATTTATCTGCCTCTCGCCTTTCTAGCTTTTCTCTCACCCAACGTCGGATGAACTGGGCAATCTTGGGTGACCTGTCTGTACTTAACCCTCTGCAAACAGGGTCCTCTCTACTCCACCACCTAACACCCACAAGCCTCTTCAACATTTCTATCCAGACAAGCAGCTTCCAGTCACAGACGCTAATGATACATTCTTCATAAAGATCGTCATAGAGTGTCTCGGCACATAAACGATGAAAACAGTGTTCTTTCCTCCAATCTTTCCGGTGCCAAAAGAAGACATCTTTCCACTCTGAATCATTTTCAACTTGACAGCCTTCAACAAACTATACTTAGAGACACCTGCACACTTTCGGATGGCATCAATTGCCTTACATCGTCATCCACGCAACTTCAATGATGACTCTAAATCTACGGGACATGTATTTATACGTCCATATTCATCAGCAACACTGCTTCAGTCCATGAATATTTATTCAACACAAAAATCCCGTCAACAAACTGACACACGTTCGAGGCCTACATTCAGGCCAACAAGGATACGGACACTCTAATTAACATTTTAGTTTCATGTACCATCTACTTCACCAACTCGGATGGGTCAGCAACAACAAAAAGTCAGAAGCGACTCAAAGACAATGTCACCAGTTTATTGAATCCCTCTTTGACAAACGATGGGTCAAGATGTTCATTACTCAGGATCGCTGGATGATCAATCAATACTTTGTTACATTGGCACTCAAACTATCACTTCCCTCATGCCAATGACAACAATGTCTCGGCCTATAGACGTCGGCACAGTCTCATCTGCGACCAATTTAGTGCTTTCTCAAACCTTCCAGACAATGATTGTCAGATCCTGGACCTATAACAACGACATCTGACATGCAGTAGTATATATGGTTCCATTTGTGTCTGTGAAGGAGTCCCTTTAGGGCCGTTCATTCCAATCATTCATCTTTTCATTTATGCTTCAACTGTGAGATGTTGATCTCATTGCCACCGTTCCCTCTCGAAAAAAGCAACCTTTACATTAACAATTTGTTTTGAATTCAAGTTGGTGAGTGTGATTGGTCGACTCTTATGATCCACTGGGGCAACTTGGTCCATCATTACATATGTACTCGGCGTCATTAATGAAGGGTCAAGCTATTGGTAACAATATTTCTTAAAAGTTGTAAAATCTTCGTTTTTGCTTGAAGTATATACAACTGAATGTTTTACAAACTTTCTTAACAGTATGGAAAAGACACATCAGGCCGTTGATATGTCATTATTACATTCTTTAACGTCCGATATGCATTCTGTTACAAATGGCACATTCTTTTATTCAAATTGTAAATATGGAAATCCACCTGCTACTTAACGTCAATGATTTGCACGTCGCTCTATCCATGGAAAATGGAGGACAATATACATGCATTGATGCTTTTTCACTGTCCTTCAATGTTCAGGTACCTGTTTGAATTCGCAGCTTAAAATGAGACGTTTTTTTACACTTGCTGAAAGGTGTCAGACTGTAGGCCTTTTGGAATCTGTCCGCTTTAATGTTAGTCAGAGTGCTATTGGTAGACTGTGAGATTTCAAGCCAGTGGGTCTGTGGAATATGCACGTTGACCAGGTGGCCCCAGGTCGCCCCAGAGTCGGAGCATGGTTAACACTGCGTTACGTAACAGATAGCTTAACGCAGCCGATCTTCAGACAGAACACTTCAATGTTAACAATGTAAGGATATCCAGGAGCACCGTTCGTCGACGTTTAAGGGCCGCCGTACCCCGCTGTAGGCGACCTGCAGTTCGTCCACCACCTACTGGACGTACTCTACTGCACGTGGTCGACGGTAATCTTACCAGACAGCGTTATCGGGACGAGATTCTGGCTCCTATAGCAGCACCACTCCTGCAAGCTATGCATGGCTTATGGTTGACCCTCTCTTCTGCAAGACGACAACGCTAGGCCTCATATATAGGGCCAGGATTGTCACGGAATTCCTTATGCAGCAGGGTGTAGAGCGGATGGATTGGACAGCTTGCTCGCCTGACCTCAACCCAACTAAGCATGCATGGGATGAACTCGGTCGACGTGTGTACACACCTCACCCAGCACCAGTAAATCTCCCAGGATTCCGCAAGCTTTCTTTATGAATTTGATAAGGAGCATGAGAGCAAGGTGCACCTGTACCTGTGTCTAGGACGAAGAGGGTACACAAGATATTGAATGACTGAGTGCTGCATGTTTGCCATTTTCATTTTGAGGGATTGGTCTATGTACAACTGATGCTTGCTAGTGCTGTTTGAACTTTTTGTATGTATGTCTCGATGTGTCACGTTTGTCAACACATTAAACATTATGATGACACTCTTAGTTATATTATTTCTGATAAACGTTTCTTTACATTAGCTATATAGCATTTGACCCTTTACTAATGACGCCTAGTATATATTCTGAAAGGTCAAATATGAGCAAAAAATAATGACCATACACAGGGCGAAGCATAGCCAGCAGATTGATATGACCATGACCATTGCTATACCTACCGTGTAGGTGAAGAGAGGCAAGTGAAACACCTGGTCCTAGTACCCCTTACTACGGGTACCGGACTTCGTAATGGCTGAGATTGACAGTCAAGGGTTGTAAACTTGTTATAAAGGTCACTGCGAGAAGATGGCTTTATTTCAATTCCGTTTCTGGACTAACGACTTGTATTTTACGGTACCTATTATTTCTGAGAAACTTTTCGGTACATGTGCTATATAACATTTGACCCTTTATTAATGACGCTTAGTTTATAGAATACAATTTGCTTCATTACATTCTCCAGACAGGATAATATCGGTATTCAGAGTTCTAAAGAAATCAAAATGATAACAAAGATCATCTTTCACAAATTTGGATAACAGGCGGGATGTATATGGTGACTTAATAAATATCAGTACCTGCATTGAAGAGTCAGCTTATGCCAGCTCATCGGTACTAAACTTGTTGCAACCCGTTCAGCACCCGTATCACGAGTGTGGTACTAGCGTTCTCAGAGCGGGTGAGGTGAATGATCTTCCTGGCTGGTGTCTGGTTTCTGTAACCTTGTACTATTTATCCTGAAGTCCGCGTTTCCGCACGTATCAAAACACACACCAGTCGAGCGAAAGATCTGTATCGGTCTCAATGCAATGGCGTCGTGCGGCAAACAGGACACAATCATTGCATGGTCTTGTTCCAAGCTCCTGGTAAGAATTTCCATTTTGTAATTGTCTGTAGCATCAACTCTATACTATATTCCGGTTATAGTCTCGTACAGCATGTGGGGTTTGATTCACGAGATCGAAAAAAGATATTGTAGGAAAAAGGAGTTCTGGTTTTGTTGAAATGAACACTGTTGGTATGGATGTATATGTGATCACATAGACACCGTTGTCAGTAAAGTATAAATATACACGCCGAATTATCTGTATATATCATATACGTACAAGTTGGTCTATAAGAGTATGTACCCAGGTCACATCTACTGTGTACGAAGCTAATATGTATTATGTCAGGTCACATATGTAGTATCTGTAGATTCCGCATGTGGTATAAAACCAGTCACATGTGGTATGTACCCAGATCATGTGTAGTATGTGACCAGATCACATGTAATGTGTACCCAGATCACATTAGTATGTACCATGATCATGTGTAGTATGTACCCAGATCACATGTAGTATGCACCCAGATCACTGTTAATATGTGCCCAGATCATGTGTAGTATGTACGCAGATCATGTGTAGTATGTACATATCACATGTAGTATGTACCCAGATCACATGTAGTATGTGCCCAGATCATGTGTAGTATGTACATATCACGTGTAGTATATACCCAGATCACGTGTAGTATGTACCCAGATCACGTGTAGTATGTACCCAGATCACATGTAGTATGTTCCCAGATCACATGTAGTATGTGCCCAGATCATGTGTAGTATGTACATATCACGTGTAGTATATACCCAGATCACGTGTAGTATGTACCCAGATCACGTGTAGTATGTACCCAGATCACATGTAGTATGTTCCCAGATCACATGTAGTATGTGCCCAGATCATGTGTAGTATGTACCGAGATCATGTGTAGTATGTACATGTCACATGTAGTATGTACCCAGATCACATGTAGTATTTACCCAGATCATATGTAGTATGTACCCAGATCATGTGTAGTATGTACATATCACATGTAGTATGGACCCAGATCATGTGTAGTATGATCATAGTGGTACATACTCACATATCACATGTAGTATGTACCCAGATCACATGTAGTATGTACCCAGATCATGTGTAGTATGTACATATCACATGTAGTATGTACCCAGATCACATGTAGTATGTACCCAGATCACATGTAGTATGTACCCAGATCACATGTAGTATTTACCCAGATCACATGTAGTATGTACCCAGATCATGTGTAGTACTTACATATTACATGTAGTTTGTACCCAGATCACATGTAGTATGTACACAGATCATGTGTAGTATGTAATCAGATCATGTGTAGTATGTACCCAGATCACCTGTAGTATGTACCCAGAACATGTGTAGTATGTACATATCACATGTAGTATGTATCCAGATCACATGTAGTATGTGCCCAGATCATGTGTAGTATGTACATATCACATGTAGTATATACCCAGATCACGTGTAGTATGTACCCAGATCACATGTAGTATGTACCCAGATCACTTTAGTATGTACCCAGATCAGGTGCAGTATGTACCCAAATCACGTGCAGTATGTACCCAGATCACATGTAGTATGTACCCAGATCACATGAAGTATGTATCAAGATGAAAGGAAATGCGTGTTTGAAAGATAATACATATTATATTGTGTCAGAGAAATGCGTAAGTCAAAGAGAAACAACACTTCTGTTTCACTTTCGAAAATAATGCAAGCATTTATATGTCTTTTTAATCCTTATGTCTACTTTTATTGTTTATGCGAAATCAGCAAGCTGTACATTAGTAAACGCGGTGCAGGACGTTGTAGCAGAGCCAGAAATACACGAGGTTTGGGTTTTGTGTACGCGGTGTGAATACACGGTTATCTTGAGGTCAACATGATTTATTTAATCTCGAATTTCAACTCAGTGCAAACATACCGACGTTGCTTTGTAGGGCGTTTGGGACAGATGCGAGTCTGTTGCCATACGAATGGAGCTGTACAATATCGGTATCAGTTCTTGGGGTCATCAAATATGAGAATGCAATGTCTGGTGGTTAACGGTTTTGGTACATACAGAATGTTCAGTTTATTAAGAGCAGGACATGTAAAGATACAGTGGATGTCATTCTCTATACTTTTACATAACATACAAGTCCTTTCATTTATCAACCTTGGCATTTCTGGAAACACAATGGCCGATCTTGCTGCCAAGGCAGCATTCAACAAATCTGTGACACCACTTCTTATTCCATACTCTGATTGCAAAGCTGCTATTAGATCCTATATCCGTGATTTGATGCCGAAGAAGTGGGACACCCAAGTTGGTATAAATAACACCTACACCTACTTGGGTTGTCAGTCCAGATTTGAAGAGGTCATCATACGACGATGTCGTATTGGCCACACAAGATATTCTCATGAATACCTATTGAAAGGTGAAGATCCTCCGTTTTGTATCCCTTGTGATGAAAGAATCACGGTCAAGTATGTCCTGCTTGACTGTGTTGAATATTCCATCACAAGGGATATCTATTTCAAATCACGAACTATGAAGGATCCTTTTAATATTATAAGTTCTCATTTAATTATTGCATCTTTAAAAGAATTAGATTTGTTAAATGATTTGTAAATAGATAAATATTTTATAATTGGAAGTTTAAATTAATAAATTAGATTGTTAGTGGCTGTACCCTCAAGGGGGGTTGAAGTATTGTAAAACTATTGTCCTCCTGAGAGGGTACGTAAGTCCCATAAATTTCTAAGTCAGTTTAAACTTACCAGGAATTTTAAACGTAGTATTCTTGTTATTTTAAGTTTGGCTGACATTTCTTACAATCGCCAGCAGCTGAAGGGATGGTGTAAATCCAGCTAGGGTCCATGCAGGTTACAAAGGTACTGTAAGTCCCTATGGTCCATAGTATGGTGATCTACCTTCAGTTGTTGGCGATCTATAGCCCGTTTTTATATTGTATCGTCCTCTATAGTTAAACTGTTTTCGATTTAATTGCTAGTTTTAAATATATATCTGTGATAAGCTAGTTGTTTTACTGCCCTTCGTTGACAGGTGTTTATAATTTAATGTTTAATCATTATAAATCTATACCATGTTTTAGTCACGATAACCTGAAATATTGCCGATGTGACTTAAAATCTTAACTCACTCATTTATCAAACCCTATTTTTCTTCTTTTTTAATCTATAATTCTGACTAACCCAATCTATATCTGACAACTAAGTCACGTAACTTTCCAGATGTTAGTACGCAATAGTATGTTAATTCAGGTTCAAGAAGACTTTAAACCATCTGTAAGATTCATATGGTGTACTTTCGTTTGATATTGAAATGTAAAAGCACATCCTGAACTATTTTCGGAAGACGTTTTCACGCACATCTAACATCATATACCAGAATTTAAAGCATCTATGTGACGTCTATGTCGTGAACCAAATCCGCCAGATCCGTCTTTCATACCACTCCATCTGCGTCGGCGATGCACTGCTGTTCCCGCTGACATTGTTGCTTGTCTCCACATTTGTACTCATACCGTTGTTCTTACAATTATGCATATAATCATTTGTTAATCAAATATATTTTATTGCATCACTAAATCCACACTCTCCCCTCCACTGATGCCAGAAATGAATTGAGACGTCACGGTTTTGTACATACAGAACATAAAGGTCAGTTCAGTGATGTCTCGTTCCCAGCCACTGTGGAAGCACCCAGTTCAGTGATGTCTCGTTCCCAGCCACTGTGGAAGTACCCAGTTAAGAGGTGTCTCGTTCCCAGTCACTGTGGAAGTACCCAGTTAAGTGGTGTCTTGTTCCCAGCCACTGTGGAACTACCCAGTTAAGTGGTGTCTTGTTCCCAGCCACTGTGGAAGCACCCAGTTCAGTGATGTCTCGTTCCCAGCCACTGTGGAAGTACCCAGTTAAGTGGTGTCTTGTTCCCAGCCACTGTGGAAGTACCCAGTTAAGTGGTGTCTTGTTCCCAGCCACTGTGGAAGCACCCAGTTCAGTGATGTCTCGTTCCCAGCCACTGTGGAAGTACCCAGTTAAGTGATGTCTCGTTCCCAGTCACTGTGGAAGGACCCAGTTCAGTGATGTCTCGTTCCCAGCCACTGTGGAAGTACCCAGTTAAGAGGTGTCTCGTTCCCAGCCACTGTGGAAGTACCCAGTTAAGTGGTGTTTTGTTCCCAGCCACTGTGGAAGTACCCAGTTAAGTGGTGTCTTGTTCCCAGCCACTGTGGAAGCACCCAGTTCAGTGATGTCTCGTTCCCAGCCACTGTGGAAGGACCCAGTTCAGTGATGTCTCGTTCCCAGCCACTGTGGAAGTACCCAGTTAAGAGGTGTCTCGTTCCCAGCCACTGTGGAAGTACCCAGTTAAGAGGTGTCTCGTTCCCAGTCACTGTGGAAGTACCCAGTTAAGTGGTGTCTTGTTCCCAGCCACTGTGGAAGCACCCAGTTCAGTGATGTCTTGTTCCCAGCCACTGTGGAAGTACCCAGTTCAGTGATGTCTCGTTCCCAGCCACTGTGGAAGTACCCAGTTAAGTGGTGTCTTGTTCCCAGCCACTGTGGAAGTACCCAGTTAAGTGGTGTCTTGTTCCCAGCCACTGTGGAAGCACCCAGTTCAGTGATGTCTCGTTCCCAGCCACTGTGGAAGTACCCAGTTAAGTGATGTCTCGTTCCCAGTCACTGTGGAAGGACCCAGTTCAGTGATGTCTCGTTCTCAGTCACTGTGGAAGTACCCAGTTAAGTGATGTCTCGTTCCCAGTCACTGTGGAAGGACCCAGTTCAGTGATGTTTCGTTCCCAGCCACTGTGGAAGTACCCAGTTAAGTGGTATCTCGTTCCCGGCCACTGTGGAAGTACCCAGTTCAGTGATGTCTCGTTCTCAGCCACTGTGGAAGTACCTAGTTCAGTGATGTCTCGTTCCCAGCCACTGTGGAAGTACCCAGTTAAGTGATGCAACTAAGTCGTAGACTGGTTCCCGGTGTTATTTGCATTAATTCGTCTCCCTGATTTTTTCAATTTCATTAAAGCCTTGGGCAGTGGGGTAGCCTAGTGATTAAAGCGTTCGCTCGTCACGCCGAAGACCCGGGTTCGATCCCCCCACAATGTGTGACGTCCATTTCTGGACTCCCCGGCCGTGATATTGCAGGAATATTGCTAAAAGCTGCGTTAAAGTAAACTCACTCACTCATTAAAACCTGAAGAGTCTGAAACTACTCTTCTTTGGGCAAATACATAAGCCTCCATCAGAGGCCACGTCATGAGAATCCTGGACTACTTTCACAGCCCAAACAAACTGAAGGTTGGGAAAGGATTTCACGAAATACGATTTCAGCTTTATTACATCTTACAATAATAGCTCTTTATCGGCAAAGATACTAATGTTTAGTGTTAGAGCTAGGCACCCACTGCTGAAATGGACTTCTATTTTATTTAAAGTTGGAATGATAGACTGCAACATATTGCCAAAACAGCCTCCCAGGAGGGTGACAACTGGAAAAAATATTACCCGCTGCCACGTTAACCGCCAAACTCTCCACCGAGAAGCTGTATCGCTAACAATCGTATGACGTCATAATATTACGCTTGCAGTGCACGGAGTTCGAAAATCATTCGATCAGCCGTTCTTGAGTTCACTATGTACACATTTATATACCGACTTTCACTACATTACTTAAATTATTTTATACATTGAATCGTTTGCACACTCAATTTAAACATAACTATTTATATATAGCAGTTTTGGGCTTGTCAGAATATGTTTCACTGATTTTAAAATTCAAGTCGAGAAACAGACGCCATTTCGTTTACATGTCATATAATCAGTAGCGATCTTCAAAATAAAATAAAATGATACTTTGTACATTTAACATGGCGGTAAGATAAATACGTTGTACAACTTATAATGTGTTGATTGCACCGAAAACCTGGAGTAGTCATTTCACTTTATGAAATTTCCCATTGAGAGATGAGTAGATAATCTGATTTTAATGGGTACGTTCCTGAGTCATGCTGTTGAATTAATGTTTGGCTCACAGCTATGTGTTCTGATTGTATGTTTCTCCTCACGGAACAATCTTATGGATTAAAGTTGTATGTGTGTACATTCCCTCAATCACGAAGAAACCAGCAATTGTTTTAATCATAGGTTATCTTTTCAAATGAACGTAACATATGAGCGATATCATATCCATAAGCTGAACTGTATTTTCGCCATTTTCAGACATTAATGAGTTAATTCGGTCGCAAGTATTTTTCCATCACTCTACCCATACAGATTACAATTATCAAATTGTTGCAGAGTATTTCAACTGTAATGACTAACCAATTCAATCAATTCAAATACGTTAACTCAACAGGTATAATTACATAAAACAACAACTAATATATTTAAATATGATGCGGGTTGTGCTATTTATGTGCGGGAACCTACATGTCAACAATGATCGTAAATAACTGCATTCTAGAAAAGATTCAGAACCTATCGTGGAACGGTTGAAAATGGCAGCAAAAGTAACTTTCTTTGCTCATGAAATAACATGTACAGTTGGACTTAATGCTTGGTGGATCCGAACCCCGTTTCATTATGCATTCATGGCAATCATAATTGGAATACATCGTTTGGAAATTGTTTTGTCTTATTGTACGGGTCATTCTAACAATCTTCCCGTGAACTGTTTCAGCATGGATTCAGCATGATGACATGGCGGCTTGTGATGTTGAGCGTCCTCTGTCAGGCACTGGGACAGGACGACAAGGCCGCCCTCATCATTATTGACGTTCAAGACTGTTTCCTGGAAAGCGGGACCCTGCCGGTCCCTGAAGGGAAAGAAGTCATTCCAGTTATCAACAGGATACGTAGTGCATATGAGGACGCCTTTTCAATGGTTGTCTTATCTCAGGATTGGCATTGTTCAGACCATGTTTCATTTGCGTCCCAACACCCCGGCCACAGGCCTTTTGACGAAGTCACACTGCAGTACGACTCCAAAGGTAGTTTCCAATATTACGAACGTCCTTAGAATAATCAAATGACTGACATTTGTGTACATAACAATATGTCAATCCTAGTAGATTACACGGCTATGGCCTCGCTGTTGCAGGGCATCTGTGTACCAGCTCCAGTGTCCCACCATCCTTTCCCTATGCACACGCCTGCAGCCAGGTTCGCTACAACATCTCACAGAGCCTCTGGCCCGACCACTGCATCATGAATGTAACGTCCGGACCGACGTCATCTGCGATCGACTCCAGGCTTACCAGGAAACCAAATGATGAGATCATATTGAAGGGAAATGACTGCGAGGTATACCCATCATTACCATTATAAACAGTCATCGGTACCCTCATAAGACCCTTTTACTACATCATGAGCACCATTTAACATGCTAGATCTACCAAGACAGCCCTCTCAGTATCACCTTGATAGTTGCGGTTACCTCTCAGTGTCCGAGAGACAATACAATGCTATAACGACCGACTTCAACAGTTATACTTTTATTGAACATGAACCTTAATCCAGGAAAGTATGCTCGATCAGTATTGTTAAAAGACCACTGAATCCTGATGAAGAAGATCAGGTTAGAGACATTGCCCCAGTAGAAGCAGGAATCAATATAACTATATACGTGCCGTTTGCCTAGCGGCCACAGATACAGATAGCTTGCATACAGTACATGTATATAATGTTCTCTTCCTGCAGGTGGACTCCTACTCTGCATTTAACTCCAATGGTGGTCTGCGACACACGAGACTACATCGACTGCTCCAGCGTAACAATATCAGCGTGGTGTACGTCGTGGGACTCGCTCTGGACTACTGTGTGTACTACACGTCACTGGACGCCCACAGCCTAGGTAGGCGTGTCAAAATGTCAATATATCATCACTACACATCACTGGACGCCAACAGCCTAGGTAGGCGTGTCAAAATGTCAATATATCATCACTACACATCACTGGACGCCCACAGCCTAGGTAGGCGTGTCAAAATGTCAATATATCATCACTACACATCACTGGACGCCCACCGCCTAGGCAGGCGTTTCAAAATGTCAAATATCATCACTACACATCACTTGACGCCAACAGCCTAGGTAGGCGTGTCAAAATGTCAAATATCATCACTACACATCACTTGACGCCAACAGCCTAGGTAGGCGTGTCAAAATGTCAATATATCATCACTTCACATCACTGGACGCCCACAGCCTAGGTAGGCGTGTCAAACTGTCAATATCACATCAGGCCTGTACAACTGAAATTGTTCGTGAGTAACTTTCCCTTGTTAGTTTCCTGGTTATATACTAGCCACATAAAGAAACTGTGCATTGTCAAAATATTATCCCAGTTGATAAGTACGATAACAATGTCAAAGGTACATATAAACTTTAATGGAGGGATCATGAGACCATAACAAGTCGGGAGAATTTCACTTGAAAAGTCAATCACAATGACGTCACGAGTCCACAAGCGGGACAGGGGTCAAACGACCATGTCACAAGCTCAATAACGGGTATGTCCACTATCGGCATTGAGAACAGCAGTGGATCGACGACGCATAGAGCCTATCAAACGTGCAAGGAAGGCTTGTGGGATGTCACGGCAGACTCTCTCAAGTTCTGTTGCAAGGTGAAGGACGTTATCTGGCGGATGAGGAAGACGGCGTAGACGTCGAACCATCTCGTCCCAAACATGCTCTATCGGGGAGAGATCCGGTGAATTTGCAGACCAAGGCTGTAAGTCAGCATTGTGGTGTTGCAAGAAATCCAAAGCAACCCTTGCCGTATGAGGGCGGGCATTGTCCTGATGGAATGTTAACCCAGGGCCATGACGTTGCAGAAAAGGAATTGTCACAGGTCGAAGAATCTGATCCCTGTAGCCCACACCAGTTAAGTTGCCCTGAACAATCACCAAATCTTCCACCCCAAATCATCACGGAACCTCCACCAAAGCGATTCCTCACCAAGACACAGGCCTGTGCATAACGTTCTCTCACGCGTCTATAGGCACGTTGACGTCCATCACTATGGGAAATGTTAAACCTGGACTCATCTGTAAAAACAACATTTCTCCACCAAAACAAGGGTCTGCGGACATGATTTCGGCACCACATTCGGCGAGCTTGTCGATGACGTTGTGTCAGGATAGGCCGTATGGCGGGATGTCGTGGTCTGATTCCGGGATGACGTAAACGTTGTCGAACTGTGTTGGGGTGGATGCGGCGAAGTCCTGGGATGGTTCGGGCAGTCATCACTGCAGTCTGAAACCTGTGGCGAAGATGGGTCACCCTTATCCATCTGTCCTGTCTTGGCGTTGTTACACGTGGACGTCCAGAACGTGGCCGATCGATGACGTCATTTGTGTTCTGGTAGCGTCTCACCAGTGCAGAAATGGTGTTCCGGTGGCAGTGGAAATATGCAGCCACTTGTCGTTGAGACATTCCCCCGAGGACCATCCCAATGGCCTCATGACGTTGTGCAGACGTGAGCCTTGGCATGCTATGCGTTTCCATAGCCGTTTAATTTTTTGAACGATCGCAAGGGCAGGGGTTGAGCTTTCCAAAGTGACAATATTGTGTGTCATTCATTTGCTCTGTTTCTCTTTCCCGGAATGCACGTGCAACAACGTATTGCACGTCTCAAGGACGAACCCTCTGACGTCACGGAACGTGGCACGTGCATCCATGTTGGATACATGTCACTAATCTCTGAGTTTAAATCCTTATGTGTCTACACAGGTTTGATAAATTAGATTTTAAATTTTTGTATGCACAGTTTCTTTATGTGCCTAGTATATATTCGTGTGGCGGTGAGCTCAGTATTTGGTTACTTTTGACACATTTTGTATATGTTTACAAAATGTAGCAGGAATCATTATATTTTGAAGTAAGTAACCTAAAGTTACGTTTAGACTGAAACGAAATAAATGATCTCAGGGACATATGTGTGTTATTATTGGATATTATTATCATTATTGGATTTATATAGCGCACATCTCCATACACTAGTGCATGCGCAAGGCGCTTGTAGTTTTTCCCTTGATCATTGGATGTCAATCTCAACGGCACATCTTATTATGAATCACAACTCCCTGGGCATCATATATACAACGCTTTCTGCCACAAGGCGCACCGAGTTGTTGCGGCTTTCCCATTCCTACGAGGTACCCATTCACAGCGGGGTGGACTGGGACACATAGTCAAAGTACTCGTCCAAGTTTACTGCACGTTGCTGAACTCACAACTAGGTGTTTGCACGTATTCATGTGGCCACCATCTGGTCATCTGGGTTCTTATACTTAAATCAATTATGGCAACAGCAGTGAGAATATATATCGACATAACAAAGCACATTGAAAATAGAATGGTGTTGTATAAATTGCCGTTGGTAATAAATGAGGCTCACATGTATTTTGTATCTTTTATCACTGAAGATCAGCTTAGATTCCCAAACTTTACTTAGCTAAACATTCATGTTGATGTGTACAAAGCGGGAGTATATATATTTAAGTGTTTAAAATAGTCATGGCTTTCAAAACAACGCGTATTTACAAATACCTAACGTTTCTATTAACACTGTGTTTCTATTTATTTCCATTTTTGGAAAGTTTTATAATATCAAGGTATGAAAGCTTTATCACTAACATATGTTGTATACAACCCACTTAGAGCTGCCTATTTTAACACTGAAACGTGCAGATTTTCTATTCATTATTTAAGGGCAATGTTTACCTTGGCTGCTTTGATTAGTGAGTGAGTTACAATTTATAGTCACATCGGCAATATTTCAGCCATATCGTGACTAAAACAGGTAATACATTAACAATAGATAATATAAGAGCATAAAATCTGTCATCAAAGGACAGTAAAACAACTAGAATATAACAATTTGAGGTATTAAAACTAGCATTTAACTTTAAAATCATGTGACTATTTGGGACAATACAATATAAAATACGAGCTATAGATCGCCAACAAGTGAAGGGAGATCACCATACTAGGGACTATGAGGACTAAGTTCGACTAACAGTACCTTTGCTAGCTGCTGGACCGAAGCTGGATTTACATCATCCCTACAACCGTTGGCGATTGTAGTCAGATTTAGCCATAATGTAAAATTACAAAATGCTACGTTTTAAAAATCGGGCAAATTTACTGAATGTTTTCGGAACTTACGTACCCTCTCAGAAGGGTAATAATTTTACAGGACTTCAACCCTCTTTGAGGATACAGACACAAACAATCTCAGTTGCTAATTTAAACTATACCGATTGTAAAACTACACGTATCTAGTGTGCAGTACACACAACCTTGTGCACTTAAAAGAACTCACTCATCCGACGGTAGGTGACCAGATGGAGGACACACGAACAGGCGCACACACCTAGTTGCGGGTACAGTAAAGTGCAGTATCATTGGACCAAATACTGTGACTATGTATCCCAGTTCCCCCAGCTGTAAATGGGTACCTTGTGAGGATGAGGCTGTGTGACAACTCGCTGCGCCTAACAGGCTGCATGAGTTGAATACTCAGGGAGTTCAGTTGGTTAAAAGATCGCAGAAAAAACGACATCCGTTGATCAAGGGAACACTCAAGCGCCTTGAGCGTATACTAGTTGCGTGGATATGTGTGCTATATAAATATCCTATCATCATCATCAACTATCTACAAAACAGATCAATTAAAATTTATGAATCAAGCCAATTTCTGTTGATCGTTAGCATTATTAAAAAGACCCTTAACCGGTTTTACAGTAAAATATTTACCCTATGTGATGGAAAAATCAGCAGTCAAGCCGGACATGCTTGACCGTGATTCTTTCATCACAAGGAATGCAAAACGGAGGATCCTCACCTTTCAGTAAGTATTCGTGTGTATATCTTTAATGGCCAATACGACAACGGCGTATAATGACCTCCTCAAATGCGGACTGACAGCCCAAGTAGGTGTAACCAATATAGGGTTTTATTTCATCTAATTTATTTATACTTGGGTGTCCCACTTCTTCTGCATCAGATCACGGATATACGATCTGATGACGGCTTTGTAATCGGAGTGTGGGATCAGAAGTGGTGTCACAGATTTGTTGCGTGCTGCCTTAGCAGCAAAATCGGCCATTGTGTTGCCAGAAATACCAACATGGCTGGGTAACCAACAGAGGACGATGTCGTATTGGCCAGTAGCAAGATCATTATATAATTCAAATATTTCTTTTAAAAGTGGATGTTTACAGGGAAAAAAGTAATAGCCCGAAAGAATCAGAAAAAAGCTTATTAATTGTTTGTATTTATGGTGTTATTAATATAGTTTAAGGCTGTTAATATGGCATTAGCCTTTGCTGTAAAATTAGAGCTGTTATCCGGTAACTTTGATTGGTGACACTATCTAAACTGAGATAAAACTGACACTTGAGTTTAATCTGGTGATAATGATAAACGTTATACAGCAAACTATTTTCCTAATTCCTAAACCCAAGCTACATGTATGAAAGGGAAATATTAATGTTCATCGAAATTTATTACCGTGTATTTTTAAGAGGTATTCGAGGAAGTATGCTTTTTAACAAGCCATAAATAATTGACGCATGGAAGACACTGCCGGTGACCATTAAAGATTTTAAGATTCCTAAAGGGTACTAGAGGAACTGTATAATCCCTTTACTTATGTTATAATTAAATGCAGATCCTACATGATCTTTAGAAACTTCCTTTTTCTTTCAGAAAACTTTCAAAATGATTCAGGCAAAGAAAAATTGAACACTGCCCAATTTCCTCAAAGATTCTAGATATACATTTACTGCAAAGACAGCCATGTTATTGAAATAGAATAATACATACTGAGAGCATTTCTCAGGAAAAATATAACCAGTATATTTAATAACCAAGGAGGACACCTATATTTGATCTTACATTGTCAAATGTTTAAAAAATAATATATTCGTCATTAATTATCATTCCTTCTTTCCATGCTTGCATACCAATAACTATAACTTCCGACCGCTGTAAAAGAATTCGGTTTTTCAGCAATAAGCTATTTCTAGTACACACTTCGGTTTTAGGACAGGTCGATCTCGTGACCGACATTTGCACTCTGAAACACCAAGCCATGTCGACAGAGTCGGTAACACAAAGGCAGATGATGCAGCTAAAGCAGGTCCGTCTCTCCACTTCTAATATCTCATTCCGATTTTAAACCTTTACGGAAAGTGGAAATGGAAGTGTTAATACAAGCGGAACACCGAAGGAGGTATCAACAAACTTGACAAACCTTAGTTCGTACCTTTCATGGTTGCAATGAACAATGGACTTTTTCTTTGGTGATGTCGATATGGTTACACGCGTTTTGCACATGCATATATGAATATTGTATTAAAAAGTGACGATCCTACATTTGGTGTCCTTTGTGACGAGAGAATCGCCGCCAAGTATGTTTTGCTTGACTGGGTAGATGAGTCACAAAGGATGTGTATTGCCATTTATCATCATTGAAAGGTATACTGAGGGAAACAAATAAAGGATCACATGAAAGCAAAAGTGTTCCCTTACCTTTTTCCAGGTTCTTCACAAGCTATGCGATTCAAAGCTTGTGAAGAAACCGTGGAAAAAAAAATAAAGGAACACTTGTCCTTTCGTGTGATCCCTTATTTCTTTCCTTCAGTATATATGTTGGATAATGTCAGTGATCTTTTATTTCTTAAATTGATTTGTTTTCAATATATTGTGAATTGTGAATTTGAATTGTGTTTTGAATAAGTAAGACGTCATCCCCTGCTGGTGGCACTGGTGGTGGTGGTACAAGTAGGGTAACGCAATGCCCTGCAGTTGCACGTGAGACCATTTACCGAAGTGTAAAACACAGACTAGTGTTGATCACAGTTTGGTTTTTAATATTGGTTTACATTGCACATAACCTCTAGTGACCAAAGTGATTGCATACATGATGACTTGGCCCACACTTGGGTAGCTCTTCTGGAGGAATAATGGGCAATACAAAGGGAGGCTACACCCGACAGTATGCCTTAAAAGACCGTAGATGTTTGGCCGAATTTAGTTGACACACCAGATATTGATGTACGCGCCCGACAATATGGTGATCGTCATTATTCCATCACTACGGTTTTGTCCGTAGTACTTGTGTCCGGCGCCATTAGGGAAATGACCGTTTTGCAAAAGTGTTTCTAGTTTCATTTTGTTCTCACAATAGCTATTGTGATTTGAAGGCTACAAGACGTATACAGTCGCTGATGCTACCAGGGGCATAGCAGTGATTTCAACACAAGAAGCTGTTGCCGACCTTAAAACCAAAGGTAAACCGCCAACTAGATCACAAAATTAATTAGCATGTATTCCTTGCCGTTTGTAATCAGAGCCGTTTGTGTTCTCCTCTATCTTAGTCATTCACTTGACGGAAAGAAACATGTCTTATCTTCAGGGTTGTATGAAATCATTATGGTATAATATCAGGTACACCTGATTGGCAAGATTGCATCTAAGTATAAATGTCACAGACTTCCTCCTCACATCAACTGAAATGCTGTTCATTCCGTTTGCCAAAAAAGACACATCAGAATTTACTCAAATTGCTGAACATATTATTTAACAATTCCGCTGCACAAGTTGATGAATATGCTATACCTAATCCCGTATGAAATTTGGTGTTATGACGGATTGTAAAAAAAATGTTTGCTTTAAAGATATCACAGAGTTGGGACTTAGTGGCTTTATCAGCAAATGCAAAGTTCTGATTTTGTAACCGTGTCCCAAGGTTCCCTTTCAGCTTGTATGAGGTTGAAACCTTGTCATTGAAATTTGCACACTCTGATAAGGGACATTCTCCATTTTCAATAGAGATTTTAGAGGCAAAGCTGTAACCATTCGGTAAAAGTGCCATTCATCACATTTTCGTCGGATTGTTCGCCGATAAAGGTTAACAATAAGCTAAACAACATCAGTTCTGCTTGTAGCATTTTGGTATTTATAACGAAATTTATGTAGGAACATCCAAAGAGTTTGCTTGGATATATGTATTATGGTGCACCTTGCCAAACTCCTTTCGAAGAGAGTCACGATATGGCTGAAATATTGCCAATGTGACTATAACTTTTAACTCACTAACTCCTTTTGAAGAATTCATAGCGAAGCAAATTGTTTTTGCATAAAAGTTTTGTAATTCAATGTGAATAACACTGGTTGGCAAGGTATTTAATTTTGGATTTTTCAGTGATGTTTATACGCCCCTTTCTGTTCAGTATCGTCCTCCCTATTTCTTCAATAATTGTATTTTGAAGATGCAAGTTTCAAGTATATTTACTGTATAAAATAATCTAAACTCCTACTTTGAAATTATTGCAAGCTTTGTAAATAAATGTATTAATCCATTCCACTTTGCCGCATGCTCCACGTGCAGGTCAAAGGTGTCTGTTCTTTGTATGTGATGTAGGATACGGACATTTAAATGGTGATTTTTTTGGATTTGTTTTTTATTGTTCCAAATGTGATGAGTACAAAAGTATGATGAGTACAAGCATATAGAGGAATATGTGCACATAGCGGCGAGTGGGCTCAATAGAGATATAGTACATTAAGTACATTAAATATCGATATCAGTGATATGTTTTGGTTAAATAGTCATTCAGGGTCAAATTCAGGGATGAGAGGAAACCATTTGGCTAAAATGCTTTCAACATTATTATTTCTTCTGGAGATGAATGCTTCAGTAGTAAATATGTCTTTCAATATCCTTAAGTAATTATCAACTTTTGGAATTGTTTTTTCAAAGAGCAAGTGTAAATATACCTCTTAGCAGATAAGATTATGTGATTCAGTATTGGATTCTTACCTAAAAAGCCAAACCAGATCAAAGTTTTTGTCAAAGTAAGTGTTTGGATACGTTTCGTAATCCACTGTTCAAGTTTCTTCCAGAAAGTTTTGGTTTCATCACATTCCCAATATACATGGCATAAGGTCTCAACTGAATCATTACAAAAAGAACATAGTGTATTGTCAACCAGATTCATTATAAAAAGTTCTTTTTTGGTATAAACAATTCCGTGCAGAAGTCTATATTGAAAATGTAACAGTTTCACATCTCTAAAATTGTTTCTCAAATATCCAAAATCAAATGCCAATCAAAATGAATACAATCAAATAATGTTTCCCATTTTTGGCACATGTGAGGTTTAATATTTTCAGATAATAATTTATCATAGAATAATCTTGAACTTATTTTTAGGGATATGAAATCCTTTTGGAGAGAATTTATAGGAGGTCATTAATGTTTATGTATCTATATTCCTTTAAAGTCTTTTTCCAAGTTTCAGGTAAAATATGTATAACATATCCAAGATCTAAGTGAGCACCTCTTATATCAAATTGAAGCTTCTAATGATCAAAAGATATAAACCCATGTTCATCACAAAGATATTTGATTGTCAAGATTCCACTTTTAGCCCAGTGACTAAAGATGTGATTTGAGATTTTGAAATTTTTATTCAGCCATAAAGGTTGGGATAAGATTTCATTAATGTTTTTCTGCATCTATAGTATTTTTGATACAATATAAATTCCATCCCTTTTAAACATCTTTCCAAAAAGGATTATCAACTGCAACTATATTCTGAAACTTTGCTTCATATTTTAGCATATCCTTAAACGGAAAATTGCATGGGTTACCAGGATTTGTTTTCTTAAGTATAGTTTAAGTGTAGATAATTTCATGGCGTTAACAAAGGTCTTAATATCAATCATGCGTAGGACAGAATTGATAAAATCCTTGGAAACTGTGTCAAATGCATTTTCGAAATCAATCAAAATTAATAAACCTGACATGTCTCTTTTCTAAGTTGCAAACATAATGTCATATAATAGCCTTGTGTTTTCACTTAATGTTCTGCCAGGTTAAAAAAACAGTTTTAAACCGACTTGAGATACGTGCACTTATTAATTTATACAGAGCATTTAATAAAGTAACTGGTCTCCTGTTCTTCAATAAGGTCCTATTTTTATTAGCTTTAGGTATACAAGTGATAAATCCTCACTTCATGGTAAGAGACATCTTAATTCTTTTTGATACATCTTTGATAAATCTGAAAATCCAGACTTTTAGTTCTTTCCAGAAGAATGTAAAGAAATCAATTGGAAATCCATCTATACCGGGGCTTTTGTTATTTTTCATACTTTTTATTGCCAATGGTATTTCATTTATGTCTAATTCTTTTTCCAATTTGTCTCTCTGTTGGTGACTCAAGGTTGGAGTTATCACATTTTATAAACAGGCATTATTCCCATAGTTCTCAGCAGAAGAATACAGATTTTTTATAAACTCTTTAACTTCATTTAAGATCGCATCCCTGTCAGTAATTTCTTCATTCTTATCTGTAATAATTTTATTAATTGATTTGCTGACAAAATTCCTATTTTCTAAGTGACAGAAATATTTTGTTGGTTTTTCCCCTTCTTAATATCATAGAATTATGTTTCTGAGTTGAATTCCTCGAATCTCTTCTTCCTTAATTTGTTGTAGTTCTGATTTTAATTTAGAGAGTTCAGATAGTAAGGCTTCATCTACGTTTTGAAAATATTTTCTAATAGTATCTTCACAGTCTCTTATTTTAGTTTCTAACTCATTAGATTTGTCCTTTGTTTTCCTTTTAAGATAAGATGAAAAAGATATTGATTTACCTCGAACATTCATCAGAAATGTTTCTAAGAATAAGCTGTCATCTATCTGAAGTTTGATATCTGAGTCATTCACATTCTCAACATACACTAAACGCCAAATGAAACGTTACTTCCCTTCCTTAATGACGGAAGTACTTATCTTCAGCTGGCGTTCTGATGCGTGGACGTCCACTTCTTGGTCTGTCTATGGTGATCCCAGTCTGACTGAAGCCCTGAATATGTCTTATAACCGTGATACGGTGGCATCCGAGGGCGTTGGCAACAGCATTGTATGTCGACCCCATCTGCACCATCCCAATGGCTCTTTCGATACCTTCATCTGTTAATCGTGGCATATTTCTCGTACTTGTGTATGATATCATGTATTCTAGTTTCTCTTCATACCCTATAGAATCATTCTACATGTGAAATGGATGCAAATAATGAGTATTCTTTGAGTATTCTTTGGTCGTCTCCTTTTAGATTGATCTGACTAAATCAGCATATTCGGGATTCAAGAGTAAAGAAGTATTGACGTTCCAGTAACCCCTCCCTCTTTTTTTATTACTAGCGTTTGAGAAAGTGAAACTAATAGCTGAATGGTCTGTTTCATAGCCAGGTATGATGTCAGAATCAAGTGAAAGATTAAACATGTCCTGCGAAATTAAAAACAGTCCAATCTTGAATGCTGTCTGGGATTTTTTTCCCCATAATGTATACTAGTATTATTCTTAAATCAGGATTAAGTTCAATAAGATCTAAGGATTCAATTTTGTCTAAAACTGTATCTCTGGCCTTGGGGTTGTGAATATTTTTGTAATTTTCCAAATCATTGGAAGGATCCAGAATTAAATGATGATTTCTTAAAGAAGTTCTCTATGACGATCCCCTATTTTATATGTGATTAGATAAATTTGTGCACGGTAATTATCTGGTAACATGTTAGGTACTTTGAGTAATTTATCACTCCTTTGGTGTCTTTTATGGCGAACGGACTGGAACTGGGAAGTAGTAAAATATCTAACTGAAATGATAATGACAAACCGGTCATAATTTATTGTAGCCTGTAATTTCACAAGAATAGTTGAACATAAGCCACTACTTGATCTCTTTCAGGCGTCCATGTGATACAGTCATCCTCTCTGGCTGGCCTACTGAGTGTGAGTGGGGCCCCAGCTGTACGTACACAACCACACATTGAATATCTACTGCTCCCGCTATGTATCATTCATGTAATTCAATCATAAAACAGCAATCCCGTTCAGTATGTCCTCCAGCTATTTCCAAACGTGTATACACAAGTGTAAACTACTCCCGCGTTACTCATGACTGGACATTACGCCCTGAAGTTATTGTTGGGAGCCAATTTCAATATGTGCACGGTGAGGACAAGCGTTATCGTTTTTAAAGAGAAAAGGAGAACCAGTATAGCTCGCACACGGCACAACTGTCTGCGCCAGTATGTTGTCTAGGTAGTTATGTACAATGGCCCTTACATGGACAATATACAGTGACATTCTGGCAGTCATAGCGAACCCAACCCATATCATTAGACCCACCCTGAAATATGCCTTGATGCCTTTCCTTCATGTCTGAGTGAGAGAGTAAATATAAATAATTGCTTAACACAGCATCAGCAATGTTGCAGCTATTTGCGGCGAGAAATGTCATAAAATAAACTTTATGTTAACAATCATAATGAAAATGGTGTGCATTTTAATATTTTCAGTCACATATCACATTCAAGGGTAAAAACTTGCTTTGAGATAAAAATCTGTATTTTATCATTCAGTTTGATTTCTTTTAAATGTACTAAAATCAGGTCGTTACGAACTGTTTCAAAAAGGACAAATAAACTATGAATATTGTCATGAAAACGTTGTCTGAATAGCTCTAAATCAGCACATTTAAGCAGTATGTGCTTGATAGTAAGTGGACTTTTGCAAGGGATGCAAAAAGGAGGGTCTTCACCTCACCTCAATAAAATGAATGTGTGTAAATACTGTGTCCAATGCGGCAAAGTTGTAATACAACGTCATCATGGCAATAAAGATCACTTCATGTTCGTTGAGACGCTACCAGACACGTCATGCCTATCTTGTAAGTCAGGACTGGGCCTGGATTCGTCTGAAATCATTACAGATCACCGGCAAATATAATGAACACCAATGGCATCTGGTAAGAATGCGTCGAGTTAACGGCAGTACAATACGTGGTAGCCGTACATGCAATTCGTTGTGTACAGACAATTTCTAATTCCTGGACATTTACATGACAGTGGCCTGGATCAAGTGTATAGCAATGTGATCGGGTGCTTGGGCTTCATATCTTTAAGCATTGTTTCTGATCCCAGGCGTCTGTCCTTGACATTATGCGCTCAGTGCACACCTGTCATAATATTCTGCGTTGACAGAAACCTTTTACAAAGTCCGCAAATCGCACACTGAGCACATTGGATATATTAGCATTCCCTCGAAGAGATCCACCATTGCACCAGATGCATTAAAGCATGTGCGTCCAAGGACGAACTCACCCTGGTACAATGATGCTATCAAGATAGCCAAGACACAGAAACGCACCCATGAAAGGAAATGGCGTAAATCTCGGTTAGAGATCGAAAGACAAATCTATAACCATTCCAGAAATACTCTTAACAGACTGCAAAATTTTGTCATTTTAGTAGTTTTAAGCAGAGTCTTGGTAATCCAAACACCTTGTTCTGTCACCTGAATTCCCTTTTGGGTAAAGCACCAAATACTGTCTTACCTCAGACAGATGATAATTTGGAGCTAGTGTAAGAGTCAATAACTGAGTATTCTTTGGTCGTCTCCTTTTATATTGATCTGACTAAATCAGCATATTCGGGATTCAAGAGTAAAGAAGTATTGACGTTCCAGTAACCCCTCCCTCTTTTTTTTATTACTAGCGTTTGAGAAAGTGAAACTAATAGCTGAATGGTCTGTTTTATAGCCAGGTATGATGTCAGAATCAAGTGAAAGATTAAACATGTCCTGCGAAATTAAAAACAGTCCAATCTTGAATGCTGTCTGGGATTTTTTTTTCCAATAATGTATACTAGTATTATTCTTAAATCAGGATTAAGTTCAATAAGATCTAAGGATTCAATTTTGTCTAAAACTGTATATCTGGCCTTGGGGTTGTGAATATTTTTGTAATTTTCCAAATCATTGGAAGGATCCAGAATTAAATGATGATTTCTTAAAGAAGTTCTCTATGACGATCCCCTATTTTATATGTGATTAGATAAATTTGTGCACGGTAATTATCTGGTAACATGTTAGGTACTTTGAGTAATTTATCACTCCTTTGGTGTCTTTTATGGCGAACGGACTGGAACTGGGAAGTAGTAAAATATCTAACTGAAATGATATTGACAAACCGGTCATAATTTATTGTAGCCTGTAATTTCACAAGAATAGTTGAACTTAAGCCACTACTTGATCTCTTTCAGGCGTCCATGTGATACAGTCGTCCTCTCTGGCTGGCCTACTGAGTGTGAGTGGCGCCCCAGCTGTACGTACACAACCTCACATTGAATATCTACTGCTCCCGCTATGTATCATTCATGTAATTCAATCATAAAACAGCAATCCCGTTCAGTATGTCCTCCAGCTATTTCCAAACGTGTATACACAAGTGTAAACTACACCCGCGTTACTCATGACTGGACATTACGCCCTGAAGTTATTGTTGGGAGCCAATTTCAATATGTGCACGGTGAGGACAAGCGTTATCGTTTTTAAAGAGAAAAGGAGAACCAGTATAGCTCGCACACGGCACAACTGTCTGCGCCAGTATGTTGTCTAGGTAGTTATGTACAATGGCCCTTACATGGACAATATACAGTGACATTCTGGCAGTCATAGCGAACCCAACCCATATCATTAGACCCACCCTGAAATATGCCTTGATGCCTTTCCTTCATGTCTGAGTGAGAGAGTAAATATAAATAATTGCTTAACACAGCATCAGCAATGTTGCAGCTATTTGCGGCGAGAAATGTCATAAAATAAACTTTATGTTAACAATCATAATGAAAATGGTGTGCATTTTAATATTTTCAGTCACATATCACATTCAAGGGTAAAAACTTGCTTTGAGATAAAAATCTGTATTTTATCATTCAGTTTGATTTCTTTTAAATGTACTAAAATCAGGTCGTTACGAACTGTTTCAAAAAGGACAAATAAACTATGAATATTGTCATGAAAACGTTGTCTGACAAATCTATAACCATTCCAGAAATACTCTTAACAGACTGCTTAAAACTACTAAAATGACAAAATTTTGCAGAGTCTTGGTAATCCAAACACCTTGTTCTGTCACCTGAATTCCCTTTTGGGTAAAGCTCCAAATACTGTCTTACCTCGGACAGATGATAATTTGGAGCTAGCATCAAGCTTCAGTGATTATTTCCAAGCCAAAATAGAAAAGATAAGATCTGGCCTAGATGCCTTATCTTCTGATATTGGATTCACGAGTGATGAATTCGCTGGTGATGTTCTCACAGCCTTTCCTCCGCTTACTCCAGCAGATGTTATGGTGCTGATCAGTCAGTCTAAACCAACAACATGTGACTTAGACCCACTTCCCACAAAGTTGTTGTCGGAACATGTTGATGTACTTCTTCCTGTCATCATGAAGTTAATCAACACAAGTCTGGAGACAGGAGTCGTCCCCCCTCCACTCAAGAATGCTGTTATTAAGCCTACATTGAAGAAACCCACCCTCGATAATAATCAGTTGAACAACTACAGACCCGTATCAAATTTACCTTTTCTGGCTAAACTCCTTGAAAAAGCTGTTAATAAACGCTTAAAGGATCATCTTGATCACAATAAACTGTCCTACAAATTCCAGTCATCCTATAGGGCACATCACAGCACCGAGACTGCCTTGCTATGAACGGCCTTCAACTGTAGACCGCGGCCGCCCGTCAGTTCTAGTTCTTTTGGATTTATCGGCGGCCTTCGACACTGTGGATCACCCCAGGCTCATCTATCGTCTTCAGAAGGTTTTTGGTCTTGAAGGCTCCACATTGTCGTGGATCAAATCATATTTATCGAACAGGTGCCAATCAGTTGTGGTCGGACAGTCAAAATCCAGATGTCACAACATGGATTATGGTGTACCACAAGGTTCGGTTCTTGGACCGGTTCTGTTTACTTTGTACACCACCCAACTGGGCCATGTGATTGATAATAATTCTGTCGATCACCACATGTATGCTGACGATACTCAGATGTCAGACTGTTTGAATCTTGATGATAGACAACCACTGGCTAAATTAGAATCATGCACCAACAGATTGCATCCTGGATGTCAACAAACAAATTAAAGTTGAATCAAGATAAAACAGAAGCTATGCTTATTGGTACGGATGCAATGGTGACGAAAGTAGGTGTTACACACCTGTCTGTGTGTCACGAAAATATACTATTTGAACCTGTGGTTAAGAATCTGGGTGTCTTGATAGAGTCCACATTGAGTATGGATTGTCATATACAAGAGCTATGTCGAAAATGCCATTTTCATTTAAGAAACATCGGCAAAGTAAGGCATCTTATATCCCAGGAAGCTGCCGCTGCATTAGTTCGAACACTGATATTCTCACGCCTGGACTATTGCAATAGCCTACTGTGTGGTGTGTCACAAGAATCTGTTTCAAAGTTACAAAAAATACAAAATACTGCAGCCCGAATTGTGTGTCTTGCTCCAAAGTTTGCACATATACAGCCACTTCTACTATCCCTACACTGGCTGCCCATCTTAGCTAGAATTGAGTTTAAAGTTCTTGTACTCGCATACCAGTACCGTAACGCTATCGCGCCATCCTATTTGTGTGAACTTGTAAGCCAGTATAATCCAACCAGAACTCTCAGATCCCAGTCACAAATTCTGTGCACAGTGCCCAGATACAGACTAAAACGATTTGGAATCAGATCATTTGCCTAACAATCAGCTGTTCTATGGAATTCTCTGCCTGAAGATCTCAAAACAGCCCCAAGCCTGCACTCCTTCAAAACTCTCCTCAAAACGTTTTTATTTAAGAAGTACTTTGTCTAGACTTTCACCCAAATAACTTTACTTGTAGCGCCTTGAGCACACCAGCTGGCGTGGAGATTGGCGCGTTACAAATTCACTCATTATTATTATTATTATTCTGATGTATACCAAACAGGCGACCATACCCTATCATACTGGAAAGCACATGTACAGTACGTGCTTCACACAATATCTCCAAAGCTATGGGCTGTATGTTCATGTTTACCTAAGGCACCAAGCACAATGAAGGATAATTATTCCCAGCAATATTTTGGACTGTCCGTGCAAATTCGTCTTTTCCGGAGCAAAACTTTAAAACCCTTCAATGTTTCTTCACCAATCTTGGTACATAGATATGTCAGGTGGTGAACTGGTGCCTTTTTAGTAGTTTTGGATTTCTGAATAAACTAAAGTTTGCGTTTCCATGGCAAGGGTTTTAACCCTTTAATGTTTCTTCACCAAACTTGGTACATAGATACGTCTGGTGGTGAACTGGTGCCATTTGGTACTTTGGGACTTCTGAATAAAATATATATTTGCGTTTCCATGGCAACAACTTTGACTTCTGCTGAAATTAGTGGTAGTGCTGTTTCCAGAGCAGAACTTTAACACCGTTCAGTGTTTATTCACCAAGTTGGGCACATAGATAGGTCTGGTGTTGAACTGGTGCCTTTGGATAGTTTTAGATTTCTGAATAACATAATTTCTGCATTTCCATAGCAACAAATATTACATTGACTGAAATTGGTGGTAGTGCTCCCAAACCTTTCAATACTCTCCTTCCACTTTGTGGGTATTCAAGAACCTAATGACTTCAATCAACAGTACCACTCTGTTTCCAGTATCAACATTACTGATGTACATCAAACTGTAGAAGCACTCAGTCTGTTGTTGATACAAACATGCTACTATATGAATAGTGGACATATATATGTTTTTGGTAGAACAATGTAACACTTTAAAACGTCAAAACTAGCTAACATATTCATGAAGAGTATTTTACCAGTGAAGGGGATATTGATCAATTTGCCTTCTTGTTTTCATGATTGCGGTATCTGCGATACACTCTTCTGAAAAGACGCAGGTACTAAACCCTAACTTGATATTGCAAGACATTAGCAGTTCCGCAACGCCACCAAATCATAAGCAACTACAAGCCAGCAAGACTTTAGCACTTCCACAACGCCACCAAATCATAAGCAGCTACAAGCCAGAAAGACATTAGCAGCTCCACCACGCCACCAAATCATAAGCAGCTACAAGCCAGCAAGACATTAGCATTTCCACCACGCCACCAAATCAAAAGCAGCTACAAGTCAGCAAGACATTAGTAGTTCCACCACGCCACCAAATCATAAGCAACTATAAGTCACCAGGACATTAGCAGATCCACCACGCCACCAAATCATAAGCAGCTACAAGCCAGCAAGACATTAGCAGTTCCACCACGCCACCAAATCATAAGCAGCTACAAGTCAGCAAGACATTAGCAGTTCCACAACGCCACCAAATCATAAGCAACTACAAGCCAGCAAGACTTTAGCACTTCCACAACGCCACCAAATCATAAGCACCTACAAGTCAGCAAGACATTAGCAGTTCCACAACGCCACCTAATCATAAACAACTACAAGTCACCAGGACATTAGCAGCTCCACAACGCCACCAAATCATAAGCAGCTACAAGTCAGCAAGACATGAGCATTTCCACCACGCCACCTAATCATAAGCAGTTACAAGTCAGCAAGACATTAGCAGTTCCACTACACCAAATCATAAGCAGCTACAAGCCAGCAAGACATTAGCAGCTCCACCACGCCACCAAATCATAAGCAGCTACAAGCCAGCAAGACATTAGCCGTTCCACCACGCCACCAAATCATAAGCAGCTACAAGCCAGCAAGACATTAGCAGTTCCACCACGCCACCAAATCATAAGTAGCTACAAGCCAGCAAGACATTAGCAGTTCCACGACGTCACCTAATCATAAACAACTACAAGTCAACAGGACATTAGCACCTCCACCACGCCACCAAATCATAAGTAGCTACAAGTCAGCAAGACATTAGCAGCTCAAAACGCCACCAAATCATAAGAAGCTACAAGCCAGCAAGACATTAGCAGTTCCACAACGCCACCAAATCATAAGCAGCTACAAGTCAGCAAGACATTAGCAGTTCCACCACGCCACCAAAATCATAAGCAGCTACAAGTCAGCAAGACATTAGCAGTTCCACAACGCCACCAAATCATAAGCAGCTACAAGTCAGCAAGACATTAGCAATTCCACGACGCCACCAAATAGTAAGCAGCTACAAGCCAGCAAGACATGAGCAGTTCGACAACTCCACCAAATCATAAGCAGCTACAAGTAAACAAGACATTAGCAGTTCCACTACGACACCAAATCATAAGCAGCTACAAGCCAGCAAGACATGAGCAGTTCCACAACGCCACCAATTCATAAGCAGCTACAAGTCAGCAAGACATTAGCAGTTCCACAACGCCACCAAATCATAAGCAGCTAGAAGTCAGCAAGACATTAGCATTCCC